TACACTAGTGATTTAGGGTATATTTTGATCTGTTAGAAGAAACTGTATCTCAAAATTTTAAAGAGGGAACAACTTATATATATATGCCAAAAATAAGGGTAACTACTATGAAGGGATAAAATATGACTCTAAAAATGAAAAATAAAAAATGTTTTTTTAAAAAAAGGGATTGATAAGATGTTGGTTGAGAAAGGGAAAAAGAGAAATTAAAAAACAGTTAAAAAATTAACTTTGAAATACTTATGAATCATGGTTAAAAAAGCCATGAATTCTATGTGCAGTATTCCCCTAGCGCTGGAGTTCTGCTGTTCTCCTTGATCGGTAAACTTGGTCTTGGCTTGCTGGCTGTTCGTGCTGATCTTCTGGGGGAGGGGCCTGTTGCCGTGGTTCCCAAATGTCTTTGCCGGTCGCGGAATTGCCCCGCCCTTGTCCGGCCGTGCTACGCAACCTGCTCGGGTTTGCTCTCAGGAGCTTTTGTTCCCTGCAAGCTTTCCGTAGGTCTTTGGAGGACGACAGTGAAAATGGCGGCCTCCCAATCTCCGCCCCAGAGGAGGCAAAAACTTGGGACTCCGCTCCTCAGTGTGCCCCCAGAGAAAAGCAGTCAGTCACTCCCGTGTCCCCGGTCTCCGGCCGCACTCCGTGCTCACCCGGCCTGTGACCGAGCATTTCTATCTCTGGCACCTGACCCCGTGTGGAGTCTCCAAACCCAGCAGATCCCTGCGGTGCGCTCCCGCGCAGCTCCTCCCGGGGGAGGAAGGGGAGTCTCCCCAGCTCTGCCACTTGTTGGGTCCCTGCTGGAGGAGCAGTGACCCGACTGGGCCACGGGTCACAGTTTATGGCCACCCCGAGCTGAGAACCCACACCTCAGCTCCATCTCTGCAGCCGGCTTCCCCGCTCTGATACCTGGGAGCTCTGGCGCACTCAGGCACCCCCGGTCTTTCTGTGACCCCGAGGGTCCTGAGAACACACTGTCCCGTGAGGATTCCACCCCCCCGCTTAGCCACTGGAGTGACGTCCCTCAGCGGAGCTGACTTCTAAAAGGTCCGATTTTGTGCTCCGCGGCTCTATCACTTGCCAGAAGCGGCCGGCGGAGGCCCCTCCCCCGCCGTCTATCCTCCCGAATATCGCCTCGGATTCACTTCTCCGCACGTCCTACCTTCCAGAAAGTGGTCGCTTCTCTGTGTAGAGAGTTGTTGGTACTCTCCTCTTCGATCTCCTGTTGAGTTCGTAGGTGTTCAGAATGGTTTGATCCCTATTCAGCTGAATTCCTGAGACCAGACAAAATCCAGGTCTCCTACTCCTCCGCCATCTTGCTCCGCCAAAGTAGAGGTTTTGTCAGAAATGACTGACAGCCTGAGAATATGGGGAGAAGGTGGTGGCAATGACAGAAGACCTCTGGCAAGAAAGCAAATTTAGAGATGGGGAGGAATAAGGATTCCTTTTGGGGGAATGTTGGATGTTCAAGTTGATCCATCTACTGAATATTAGTATGAAAGACACGGATTTTATCCTCATAACAGGAAAGTTTTGGTTAAGCAAGTATAAAATCTTGCTGCAGTGACAATCACCTGAGATTTTCCCTTCCTAATGAGTTTGGGGGTTGGTGAGCCAATTGATATATTAAAACATCATATATAGTGAAGGGGTAGATTGGATAGTAATGTTTAAGTAATTTTTAAAAAGTTTTTAAAAAGTAATATGGTTATTTAAAATGGTTTCTTATAGGTGTCTTCAGAAGACATATCCTTCACAACTCCCATCCCTTGGTGTCATTCTCATATTCATGAATGAAGCTCTGTCCATTATACAACGGGCCATCACTAGTGTCATCAACCGCACCCCCTCTCATTTGTTAAAGGAGATCATCTTGGTGGATGATTTTAGCTCAAATGGTGAGCAACTTGATCAAAGAATAATAGTTTATTGACTGCTGAGCTGGAAAAGGGTTTTATCTTAGAGTTTAGGACACTTTAGGCTCCTCATATAGTGAAGAGAAAGGGATCATTTATTGAGGTCATATGTGCCGGACACATTAATCTTCACAAAGTCAAGGCAGAGGATCATCATCTTGATTACATAGATGGGGAAGCTAAGACACAGAGAGATAGATCACATAATGTGCCCAAATTGCATAGTGAGTTAATGGTGGCGCTGACTCAAGTCCGGGACTGAGTGACTCCGATGCCTTTCTATGCACCATGATGGAGACCTGAGGGAGTGAACTGGGGTCCAAAATTAGACCTCAGATACCAAGAAGGGATTCAGAACTGTTCCCTATGAGGAAAAGCAATCTTGCTGTGTAATTAAACCCAGAGAAAATGGAGCTTTGGATGCCGAGACTCTTCACAGTGGCAATGTTTCTTGCTCATAGTATGCCCCCTCCCCATCCCTATCTAGTTCACCCGGGGGGGCATGAAGAATTGGGAGATAGTGGGCAAAACATGAATGTTGGTAATAATAACTATCTCATAAACTGTAAGGAGAGTTACATGAGATAATCATGGCAGCTAACATTGTTCCAAGCCCCTTATGTATGTTAACTATTTTAATCATTACAATAACCTATGAGGAAGAACCACTGTTTTGGCCATTTTACAGATGCAAAAACCTAAGGCATAGTCTGGTTAAGGAATTTGCTGAATATTGCAATGCTGGTAAGTGACAAAATTGAGATTTGCAGAGTCCAGAGCCCTATCTCTAGCCACTATGTTCACTGATATAATACATAGGTGATGAATAGTATTTAGCACATAGTAACCTCTCAGCCAGTGTTAGCTCTTAGTTTTTTAAATTTTGAAGAAACTAGAACAAAGTCACAGATTTGGGCTAGCAATAAGGAAGAAATTTCTGAGAGTAAGGACGGTGGAGTGGCTGCTCATGGGAGGCAGAATTTCTTCCTTCTCTGGGGTATCTTTAAGTACGAGACAGGTACTTATTGCAGATTCAAATTAGGGGTAATATTTATTTATTTATTTATTTATTTATTTATATTTATTTATTTATTTATTTATTTATTTATTTATTATCAAATTAGGGGCAGTTTGACCTAAGAGGAAGAGGCAAATGACCTCTAAACTTTCCTTTTTGGATTTCCAGACACTAAAAATATATGAAAAGGATTTCATGTTTTAAATACCTTCCTTTCTTGTCATTTCAATATAAATGCACAAAAAAATAAGAAGGTACAGTTCTTAAGCAGAATTCCACTGAAAACCAAAGAAAAGAAAATGGCTGACTTCATTCTTTTCTGGGCAGGCACACCTAGTTTTTGAGTAGGAAATAAGAACTTGATGAGAAAGACCTCTCTCCTCGACATCTGGACACACCCTGGCTCCACTCCCTGTCTCTGTGAGATGATCCGAGGTAAGCCGTCTCACCTGTCTGAGACTCAACTTTTTCATGGGGCAAATGTAAGGACTGAGCTGGGGGACGCCTGAAATATCATTTCCTGTGGAAAAAAAAATCAATGGCTCTTTAATTCCACATTCCATGAAGAGTAGATAAGAATTAATTCAAGATTTCTACCTATGGAACAACGAAATCAAAAGATACAAGATTACAAACATAGGTAGACACATAAAGAGAAGTCAAGCAAAACTCTGGATCGTTCCAAACCATTCCCTTATCATATAACACATCTCTCTCACTTTGGTCTGGAACCCATTATGCTTTTCATTGAGATAATGTGTGAATTGGCAAAGAAGAGGGGACTGTTAGTTCTTCTTTGACTGGTGTCCCTGGGACAGGGATTAACTTCTCTCTCATTAACCATAAAATATCAACTAGATTGGTCCTACACTGAACAGAACTTAAAAATCTGTTTTGTGTTAAATTGAAGAAAATAAATGGAAGTCTACCACATATGCCACAAGAGAAACTTACTGTTCGCTTGACTTTGTGGGGTAAGTAATTCAACTGCTCCATGTCTCCACTTCTTCACCTGTAATATGGGGGAAATAATAGTGTTTATCCGATAGGACAATTTTGAGGATTAAATAAGACATGTAAAGCCCTCAACACAGGACTTGCTCCCAATAAATGTTAACTAGTGTTATTACTCCTTGTTTACCTCAGTATCATTTGTAGTACTGTTGAAATGCCATAACTTGATCATGTCCCTCTCCTTTCCCCCCTAGATATGAAGCTTCATTTGTCTCAGGTCAAATGTTTCAAGTGTCAACAGAGCTAATCCAACTCTTTCAGAAATTGTATTAATATATGTGGGATTCTATATATCCTCTCCAATTTTAGGCAAATTTTATAACTAACAACTATTTATTTTGTACCAAAAACGAAGCACTATGCAAGGAAGATTTCAAGAAGTTCCCATATTAATTTATGAGGCAAGACATACCTATGGAAAGATATTTCAGTATATGAAGAATGGTGTGTCAGATTGAGTGAGCTGTCAGTGAGTGCAAGAAAGCCTGGAGAAATGGCTGGGATGAACTAGAGAGGCTTCCTGGAGGAGGAGGTCTTGGATTGGGACTTGAAAATTTGGTAGGATTTAGAAAAGCAAAGAAAACAATGGAAGACTGGGTGTGTGCATGTGGGTGTGGGGGATAGAGAGTGATGAAAAGAATGATATGAGAAAATCTGCAGAAGCCAGAAGCACCCTGAGCTGAGCACCCTGGAATAAAGGGTTTGGGGGCAAAGAGGAGCAGTGGGAGAGCAAGGCTGAGAAGGGAGCATAAGTTTACTTTAGAAGATCCATTGAAGGGTCTTTAATTCTTGTGCTGGACTGTAGGCATTATTTCTGAGAGGATGACTCAGAATCTACAACTCATAAAATTTTGGAATTGGAAGGATCCTGGCATATTATTCAGCCTTTGTTTCTAAGTCGAGGAAACAGAGATCCCCAAATGGGAAGTGACACAGAATTAGGTAGTGAGGGAGGTTGAATTACACACTAGATATCTGGGGTCTATGGCAAACTTTTTTCTTTTTTTCCCACCATTTTGGTTCACACAGTTTATTTAAGAACTCATGCAGAATACTCAAGATAAATGATTTTTAATCCTCATCTTTAATTCTCTTCTTTATCCCAGTTAATCTGGAAGTAATGTAATTCCTAATTATGCTGCTAACAACGGGGTACAACCAACCACACAGATTATTCTTCATATTTCCTGGTGAGATTTTTCTAATGCCTTTTAGGAAAAGGTACCTCAGAAGTTATGGTAATCCTGCTCTTGCTCCTCTCAATGATTATAACACCTCTACCAGGATTCCCAGGTGTTCCATTCACTTTGATTTTTTTCTTGAAGAAATTGCTAAAAAAATAGGCAGAATCCATGATTCTTCTATAAGGTGGGTGCCATCAAGGGCGAACTTCAGAACCTGCTCCCTCCTCCCACTGTGCCACAAGCCTTTTCAGGGGCACCATGGTGGCAGAAGAAGAAAAAAATATGGCAACTCCTTCTGATTGCTTCCTGAAAGTAGTGACTGGGTAAGTGTAGGGACTTTCCAGCTTGGTTTCTCACGGTTGGAGCAAAAAGCGTTCAGATCCATTGGCTCTCTTTAAAACCTTCAGTTATTGAGTCAGTCTTCCTGGGGTGCAGCTGGGAAAGTTCTAACATAGGGCAAATTTTTGTGCCACAGTCATGCCGGTATTGTTTCCAGATCTTGGTCATTCCAGCACTCACAAATCTACTCTTCTTCTGAGAGAGGAACCAGCAAGAATTTCATCTCTGGGCCCTGGGAAGAGAGAGATAGAGAGATCATGATAAGTCCAACCAAGTACACACATAGTTCTTGAGGCAGCATGGCATGGTGGTTAGACACAACATGGGCTCACATCTGGGGTATGCTACTTATTGGATGTGTAACTTGGACAGGTTTCTTAATCTCTCTGTGCCTCAGTTTTTGTTTTTGTTTTTTTGGTCTGTAAAGTGAGGATACTAAAATACCTACCTTATAGGATAATTTGAAATTTAAATAAATTAATGTTATCAATGGAAAACTCAGTCACTTGGTTAGATATTTTAAACACTGCTTAGTGATTTGCATGCAAGTTTTTCTCATACATATGAGGAAGTCAACTGGTAGGCTGAGTCAAAGAACAAATTTATAGACAGGCCTTATAAAAGACAGGGGAAAGAGGGAAGAAAAAAATGTAAACAATCTGGGAATAGTGAATCCTGTTTGCGTAATTTAGGGGACAAATTCATTAGCTAGAAGCTGGAAAAGTGATTAGCCTGGGTATTCTGTCCAAAACTGGTCCTTGAGGAGGCCAAGTAGAAATATGTAAAGCAAGACAAAACAGTTTCAGTTGTTTATGGATTCTCCAGAAAATCTTGAGAGTTTAGCCATGGGGAAGACATTCCAGGCTGTCTCCACAATGTCTGTTCATCAGCACCTCTACCTTAGCTAGGTCAGGTCTATCTACTCATTCTTGTGAGAATTCTCAATACACATAAAGCTTATATAACAATCCTTGTTACATGGTAAGCTGTATGATTATTCTAAGGTAGTTAAACTTCAAGGGAAATGAGATTAGGAATGGAGCATTAAGACTGAGGATAGAATGGAGAGAAGTAGGTGCAGGGGAAACACTACTTATTTCTCAGTCAAGATGGTAGAATTGCTCATCCTAAACTGGAGGTAGTCCAACCGCTACTATATAATAGTATGAAATTTCTACACCACATTGATTATTGCACTCAGAATTTCTATAGGTGTGCATTTGGTTGGCAGGAGAACTAAAGGCATACTTGGATGAGAAGATTAAACTTTACAACCGGAAGTATCCAGGACTACTAAAAATAATTCGGCATATGAAGAGAAAGGGTCTTGCTCAAGCACACAACACTGGCAGGAAAGTGGCTACAGCTGATGTGATTGCCATCTTGGATGCTCATGTTGAAGTGAACATTGGGTGGTAAGGCTCCAGGAAGTTTCTTCTCCCAAGAAAGGGGGGAAAGGAGATACTGAAAATGTACTACATACAAGACGAGATATTATGGAAATAGGGAAAGATAGCACCAGACTTCGAACAAAGAAAAGACAGTGTTTTACTCAGGGATTTGTAACACTAAACTACTAAAGAAGTAGTAGTTTAGTGTTAGGAAAAACAACAACAACAGCAACAACAACAAAAACAAAAACAACAAAAAACAATGGGCTTGGAGTGTTGACAACTGGATTCTGACCCTGATTTTGCCAAACAACTTTGTGACTTTGAATAAGTCACATTTAACTAGACATCTATGTCCTTAACTATAAAATATGGAAATTATCTTTTGATGATTCCTAAGGTTTTTCTCAGCCCTGAAATTACATGATGCAAAGAAAGGTGTGTTCTTTGGAAAGTCAAATAGTAAAGAGACATCATTTTGGAAACAGGGAGACTCAAAGAGCTAATGTAAATTTAGGCAGAATACAAATAGTCCTGTTCATAATGACTTGAGAGTGGTATTTGGGTACCAATTCCAAATCTGTTCTTGACATATCTGTTCTTTTCATATTCTGAAAACTGCAGAGTCTCTGCACTCTGGAGTATCCTACTCAGAGCTCAGCACAGCATAAATGAAAAAGGTGCTCAATGTCAGGGCAAGGTGCTTGAAGAAGTTTTGTTTGCTTGCTTCTTCTACTTACTTTCGTATTCAATCTGGATTTGTTACACACTCTTCTTCTAGGGCGGAGCCCATTTTGGCTCGGATTCAGGAAGACCACACTGTAATTGTGTCTCCTGTGTTTGACAATAGTCATTTTGACACCTTTGAACTGGAAAAGTATGCACTGGCAGTTGATGGCTTTAACTGGGAACTATGGTGCTGCTATGATCCACTGCCAAAGGCCTGGTTTGATCTGCATGATGCCACCGCTCCAGTGAAGTAAGTCTGAGATTTAGGGACCTTGATTAGAACATGGGAAATCAGGAATGGATGGTGTGGGTTTTGTTTATCTTTTATGGTACTGATGAGAGTGGGTGGGAGAAATGGAGGAGATGGGGTGAAGGACAGAGGATAGAGAAAAAATTATAGGCACTTTAGACTATCTAAGGGCTTTCAAACAAAAACCAAAGTATATAATGTTTAAAAAAAACATTTGAGGCATTTTAAGAATTTTCAGGCTATGAAGTAGGGATATGAAGATGAAAAAGGCATAATTTCATTATAATTTGAGAAGGACTATGGCAGGATGAGTGTGAAGGAAGGCTACATGTACTTAGTTCAGCCTGAGGGTTTAGAGAAGGCCTTCAGGATAAGAAGAGGCTTGAATATAGACCTTTGAAAGCCAAATCATCATTGGCTTCCTACCCCTCATTGCCATTCTGACCCATTTCTCTCATCAAGAGGTTAGCAACTCTCTTACTATGTGTTCTATAGGAGTCCTTCCATCATGGGCATCCTGGCTGCCAACAGGATCTTTTTGGAAGAGATGGGATCTCTGGATGGTGGGATGCTGGTCTATGGAGAAGAGAACGTGGAGCTTAGCTTGAGGGTGGGTACATTTTCTTCTCATTATGAGAAAAAGCAGAGGGGGAAATAATTGGAGGGTAGTATGGTCTTTGGAATTCTGGAACAAGGCTGAATGTCATTGGCTCAAGAGATGGACAAATTATCATGTTCCTGAGTCACTAGGACTAGGCAGTAAAACTTCTGGAGTGGAACTTTCTAGTATAGGTTTATATAATCTGGGAGATACGGATGGAAAGAGGTATAATTGAGGCTCAGCTGATAGTACTCTTATTTACCTTAAGGGAAATAAGCATTCCAAGCATTTTTCCAAGCATCTCCTAGATCTCATGCATAAAATATCCCTCCTATAGAGGGATTATTTTATATTATTATTATAGAAGCCTTTTGCAGCTTCTGTATAATCCACAATCCTTTGTTAAAAGGCCTTGCCCCTTGGGCTTGTGATTGTTCTTATTAATTTACCTTTCTTTTATCTTCCAGACTAAGGCTGAACTTTAAAAAAGGCAGCATAAGTTAGTGAGAATTACATGAGTATTAGAAAAAGACAGACTGAAGTCCAAATCCTACTCTATCACTTGAAAATTTGTGTTATCTTGGGGAGATAGAAGCTCTCTAAGCCATACCTACTACATCGAGCACCTAGCATGCTGAATGACATGTGACTTATGCTCATAAATGGTTAATGATAAAAATAATAATGATAAGGATGTCAGGATGGCATTGTAAAAAAAAATGCTGAACTTGGCTTCTAATCCTGACTCTGCTAACTCACTGTGGACTGAGGTTCTATGAAATGGATTTTTTTTCCCCCCAAGCCCTGAAATTCTCTGCCTGAGATCAGGTGATCTCTAGTCCATTACATGTCTGGAAGCATATGATATTTTCTAAAGCTTATTTAGACCTACAACTTTAAATTTCTTTTTATTTGGAACTGATGACCCTAGAACTACATATTATACCCAATGAAGACCTAACCAGGACCTCACATTTACGTGTTAACAAATATACTTTGAGTCCCTATCTGGGTTATACCTTAAGCCACAGTAATTGTTGGGCAGAGAAAACGACTGCTTTGCATGTTTGTCTTGATCAGTTTTCCCTTTTATGAAATGAAGAGAAGTATCCTTCTTTCATCTACCTCATGAGGATAATGGCATGATAAATATATTTTTTAATTTTTTATTGTTATGTTAATCACCATATATTACATCATTAAATTTTGATGTAGTGTTCCATGATTCATTGTTTGTGCATAACACCCACTGCTCCACGCAGAATGTGCCCTCTTTAATACCCATCACCAGGCTAACCCATCCCCCCACGCCCCTCCCCTCTAGAACCCTCAGTTTGTTTTTCAGAGTCCATCGTCTCTCATGGTTCGTCTCCCCCTCCGACTTACTCCCCTTCATTCTTCCCCTCCTGCTATCTTCTTCTTTTTCTTTTTTCTTAACATATATTGCATTATTTGTTTCAGAAGTACAGATCTGTGATTCAACAGTCTTGCACAATTCACAGCACTCACCATAGTACATACCCTCCCCAATGCCTATCACCCAGCCAGCCCATCCCTCCCACCCCCCACCACTCCAGCAATCCTCAGTTTGTTTCCTGAGATTAAAAATTCCTCATATCAGTGAGGTCATATGATACATGTCTTTCTCTGATTGACTTATTTCACTCAGCATAACACCCTCCAGTTCCATCCACGTCGTTGCAAATGGCAAGATCTCATTCCTTTTGATGGCTGCATAATATTCCATTGTGTATATATACCACTTCTTCTTTATCCATTCATCTATCGATGGACATCTTGGCTCTTTCCACAGTTTGGCTATTGTGGACATTGCTGCTATAAACAGCAGGGTGCACGTACCCCTTCGGGTCCCTACATTTGTATCTTTGTGGTAAACACCCAGTAGTGCAATTGCTGGATCGTATGATAGCTCTATTTTCAACTGTTTGAGGAACCTCCATACTGTTTTCCAGAGGGGTTGCACCAGCTTGCATTCCCACCAACAGTGTAGGAGGGTTCCCCTTTCTCCGCATCTCTGCCAACATCTGTCGTTTCCTGACTTGTTAATTTTGGCCATCTGAACAGTGTGAGGTGGTATCTCATTGAGGTTTTGATTTGGATGTCCCTGATGTCAAGCGATGTTGAGCACTTTTTCATGTGTCTGTTGGCCCTTTGGATGTCTTCTTTGGAAAAATGTCTGTTCATGTCTTCTGCCCATTTCCTGATTGGCTTATTTGTTCTCTGGGTGTTGAGTTTGGTAAGTTCTTTATAGATTTTGGATACTAGCCCTTTATCTGATATGTCATTTGCAAATATTTTCTCCCATTCTGTCGGTTGTCTTTTGGTTTTGTGGACTGTTTCTTTTGCTGTGCAAAAGCTTTTTATCTTGATGAAATCCCAAGAGTTCATTTTTGCCGTTGCCTGCCTTGCCTTTGGCGATGTTTCTAGGAAGAAGTTGCTGTGGATGAGGTCGAAGAGGTTGCTACCTGTGTTCTCCTTTAGGATTTTGATGGATTCCTGTCTCACGTTTAGGTCTTCAACGATTTGGAGTCTATTTTTCTGTGTGGTGTAAGGAAATGGTCCAGTTTCATTCTTCTGCATGTAGCTGTCCAATTTTCCCAACATCATTTGTTGAAGAGTCTGTCTGTTTTCCATTGGACATTCTTTCCTGCTTTGTCAAAGAGGAGTTGACCATAGAGTTGAGTGTCCATTTCTGGGCTCTCTATTCTGTTCCATTGGTCTATGTGTCTGTTTTTGTGCCAGTACCATACTGTCTTGATGATGATAGCTTTGTAATAGAGCTGGAAGTCCGCAATTGTGATGCCGCCAGCTTTGCTTTTCTTTTTCAAGATTCCTCTGGCTATTAGGGGTCTCTTCTGGTTCATACAAATTTTAGGATTATTTGTTCCATTTCTTTGAAAAAAATGGTTGGTATTTTGATGGGGATTGCATTGAATGTGTAGATTGCTGTAGGTAGCGTTGACATCTTCACAATGTTTGTTCTTCCAATCCATGAGCATGGAACGTTTTTCCATGTCTTTGTGTCTTCCTCAATTTCTTTCATGAGTATTTTATAGTTTTCTGAGTACAGATCCTTTTCCTCTTTGGTTAAATTTATTCCTAGGTATCTTATGGTTTGGGTGCAATTATAAATGGGATCGACTCCTTAATTTCTCTCTCTTTGGTCTTGTTGTTGGTGTACAGGAATGTCTCTGATTTCTGTGCATTGATTTTATATCCTGACACTTTACTGAATTCCTGTATGAGTTCTAGCAGTTTTGGGGTGGAGTCTTTTGGGTTTTCCACATACAGTATCATATCATCTGCAAAGAGTGAGAGTTTGACTTCCTCTTTGCCGATTTGGATGCCTTTGATTTCTTTTTGTTGTCTGATTGCTGTGGCTAGGACTTCTAATACTATGTTGAATAGCAGTGGTGATAGTGGACATCCCTGCCGCGTTCCTGACCTTAGGGGAAAAGCTCTCAGCTTTTCCCCATTGAGAATGATTTTCGCTGTGGGTTTTTCATAGATGGCTTTTATGATATTGAGGTATGTACCCTCTGTCCCTATACTCTGAAGAGTTTTGATCAAGAAAGGATGTGGTACTTTGTCAAATGCTTTTTCTGCATCTATTGAGAGGATCATATGATTCTTTTTTTTTTTTAAAGATTTTATTTATTTATTTGAGAGAGAGAGAGAATGAGAGAGAGAGAGTACGAGAGGGAAGAGGGTCAGAGGGAGAAGCAGACTCTCTGCTGAGCAGGGAGCCCGATGCGGGACTCGATCCCGGGACTCCAGGATCATGACCTGAGCCGAAGGCAGTCGCTTAACCAACTGAGCCACCCAGGCGCCCATGGGATCATATGATTCTTGTTCTTTCTTTTGTTAATGTATTGTATCACGTTGATTGAATTGCGGATGTTGAACCAACCTTGCAGCCCAGGGATAAATCCTACTTGGTCGTGGTGAATAATCCTTTTAATGTACTGTTGGATCCTATTGGCTAGTATTTTGGTGAGAATTTTTGCATCCAT